TTTAGTTTTCAAGCCCACTCTTCTTAGGCTCTTCATTGCATCTTGTTCAAGTTATAAATTAAGTTGTGGTATCAGTTTTGGGTAGAGACAGGATCTTCCAGATACCTTGCAGCTGAAATGAATATATGTGCATACCGTCCTTCTAGAAAGTATGCCATTCAATTTTAATGTAATGAGTGGGATATTTTCTGTTAGGTGGAAGAGCATTCTATTTAATGCAGCCATTTGAGAAATCAATTACAAAATTTATTTTCATCTGTTGATAAAGCTGGGGATGTCAGACTGTAGATACCTGCTGGTCTGTTAACTGGCTAATAGGTTAATAGCAGATTTCCTGGTGAAAGCTGCTGTTTCTACAGGTGACATTTCATTTTCTCTGTGGCATACAATTAAAATCAAGCCTCAACATTCTTTGATTACACTGAGAAAGTATGTTTGTGTGTAACTAGTCCTTTTGAAATTAATAGATCCTGTTTAGTAAGATAACAGCTCCTCAATATTCCTAGGTGTGATAGGTAAAAAAATAAAATCACAGCACAAAAAATAAGTCCTCAAAAATTCAAATAATGTCTCCTAATTCAAATGCTTATCATGTCCTCAGTAATTTTTCACATTGCTCTATGGTAAGATATTTCTAATTTCTCAGCTGGGAAGACACTTAAACAACTTAGCTAAATGTGATTTCTTCACCCTGAGAATTTCTTTATTTACTCAGACCAGATGTTAAGCTCAGCAGCAGTCTGTTTCCAATACTGCTAAGGGAAAGTGAGGATTCTTGTACAAAATGAGCAACCTTTTTGTAAATGTTCTTGGATTCTAGTACTGGCAGTTTAAAGATCAGAGCTGAATGTCACCTGTATATTTAATAAACCTCTAAAAGTCATAAGCATAGTCAAAAAATAAGATGTCTGTGTTTGGCCATCATTCATAAGCAGTTATCTTATTAGTTAAACAGTCAAATCTTCACATTTTTGTGGAAAATCTGAATGTGATTTGCTATTGAGGATATCTCCTGCTATTTTCCTTTTTTATTCTCCAAAAAGAGAGAAGGAGAGAAGGAGAGAAAGGGAGAAAGGGAGAAGAGAGAAAGGGAGAAAGGGAGAAAGGGAGAAAGAAAGGAAGAAAGGAAGAAAGGAAGAAAGAAAGAAAGAAAGAAAGAAAGAAAGAAAGAAAGAAAGAAAGAAAGAAAGAAAGAAAGAAAGAAAGAAAGAAAGAAAGAAAGAAAGAAAGAAAGAAAGAAAGAAAGAAAGAAAAGAAAGAAAGAAAGATTTTTGTTTCTTTTGTTACTTTTTGATCATAGTGTAGCTCTTCTTTCAGAGTGGTAAATTCCAGTCATGTATTAGGAAAAATTTTGGCTCTCTTTCTATTTGCAAATCGTGTAGTAAGTTTATCCAAAAACAAATTAGTATTAATTTGCCACAGACAGATGCAAACTTAAAATTTGATATCTAATATGATAAAAATATGGATCTACAACAGTCTTTCCATTAGTTCTGTTAGTCTCAAGACATTAATATTTATGTAGCTCATGTAATATTGTTGACCTAACGTAAGGACTGGAGGAAATTCCTTCTGGTTAGTCCATTAGGAAAGTATCATGCTATATAAATTATATCTCAATTAGGTGACTATAATGAAAAATCTGTGAGAGGTTTCTTTGCTAAGCACTTCTTTAGAGGAAACACATTTTGAGAAAATGCCAATTGGCAATTTGGTCTAAATGACCTTTAAATATCCCTTCCAAACCAAATTATTCTATGATTCTATGAACCTGTAAGATATGTGCAATAGGATTATAATTATTGAGTAAAATGTATTTGGAGAAACACCGTTCTATGGAAGGAAATTAGTCTTTACTCAAAGCATAGGACTCTCATATGATTGCTCTGAATACTGACAATTAGTGTTTCTGCTTTTCTTTCTTTTTTTTTTTTCCTGTTGTTTCTCCTATAATTTTACTGCCTCGGTCATGTGGTTTCACTGTACATTTCAATTTCATTAATAGAACATTTAGAGGAGGGAATAAGGCCTGTGTTTGAAGTAAGACTTTTCCTTTATGGAAATGCTAGGACTCTTCAGGACACGGTGTGTCAGAGAAGGAAAAGGAGTTTCTGCTTTCTTTTTAGTGCCAAGTACACACTGAAAGCATGACATAAACATTGTAATAATTGAACTATAACTTCGTGTGTATTCTTGTGATAGCCATGCTTCCAGAGTAGATTTTTTTAAACTATTTTGTAGTTTGTGAATAGCTGGTTTTGCTCAGATACTGACCCAAAGTCAAGTAACACAGGAAAAGAAGTTCTCCTAAAACAATAATTTGCTTATCTCCAGAAAAGAACTATAACTCAAAGTCTCAGTTTTCTCTGTTTCTCTTCTTTTCTCAGTGAGACAATAATTTATGATTGATCTTACCATAATGACAAAAAGTGTAGAATGAAACAAGAACTAAGATTAAATGCTTGGCCCTGACTTTTCAGTACGAAAAACTGCAGGATGATAAGCAGACATTTATGTTCAGCATATTGAGTTTAAATCTTTTATCATGTCACCCTTTATGCATAATCCAGAAGTTCAGTAGTTGAATCTTTTGAATGGCATAAATATTTTAAGAAGAAATAGCAAAGGTCTTGTCTCTCCTAATCCCAAATTCTTAAAGTAAGAGTTTGTGCTTATTTCTATTCTATGTTTGCCTCTTGGGGTTACCTTGACTGCCTCTCCATCTTCATTAACAGATGAATTTGACTTATGTTGCTTAGTTTTTGTTGTCAAGAATTCTACAAAATATCTCACAGGCCAAGTCAGTATTCTTATAGCCTTCTTCAATTCCTAACATTGATCTGTATTATACCTGTGTGCAACACAGGTCAATACCACTTAGCAGTGCATATCACATATCATAATTCCTTATAATATTTAGCAGGAAAATTATTTAAAGTGCATTCTGAAATTAAAGGTAATTGAACAGTGAGGAAATTTTCTAGTACTTATGATGTAAAAAACATTCCTCAAGTCATGAAACAACACAAATCATTCTGGTAGTCTTTATACCATCTAAGTAGGTTATTAAAAATAATAATCTACTATAAAAATAATAATTAAGAATAATTAAAATAATTAATTAAATCATTGATCCAGATATAGAAGCAGAAATATCTAAAACTGGATGGATATATAAAAGATGTCATGTATGCAAATTAGGGATAGCAGTAAGGTAAAAGAAAATTATATAAAACAATTTTAAAATAGTAATAAAAAAAATTATTTTAAGTAGCCCTTATAAATTTGTAAAAACTACATAGAATTGCTAAAATTATAGCTCTTTATTAACTTTTAAGATTAAATGTATTAATTAAATGCGTCATGGAAATGTGTTTCTCAATACTTAGGATAACCAATCTTTGTTCTGAATTCAGTTCTGATCCAGCATATGAATTGGGATATTGATCAGGAGACTTCCAGAGGTCCTTTCCAGACAGTTGGTCTGTGGCTTTGTGTTTCTTCACAGGAAAAATTCAAAATACCTGAAACATCAGGTTCAATTCTCTACGTGGATTGAAGAAACATGAAACTGGTGCACCGCAACAATGGATCAAAATATTGTGGCTGTAAAAGCTGCAAGGCAATGTAATTTAAGAAGCAGAGACTACTCTAATACAAACAGTTTACTGAGATCTTAACAGAAAGTGGAGAGATAGATTTAGTGTTAGTTACAGAAATAAACTTTGGAAGCATATTTGGGATAGCTGAGTCAAGCCTCTCTCTTTTTTTCTACAAAGCTGTGATTTATAAGAGCACACCTAAAAGTGCACCTGGGGAAAAATTAGCATTACCCGCCCTATGTTTGTTCCTTTGTTTCATGAATAGAACTCAGTTTATACTGTCTTCCTGGGATTATGCAAAAAAGACATTTGCTAAGCCAAGACACCTTCTTCTCTGACTTCTCTGGCACCTCAAAAGTAAAATAGCCCTAACTAATCTAACCCTGTCTAGTCAGTATGATAAACCAATGGGTGATTATTTCAGGAAAAAAATTACAGCATATCAGATGAGATCTTCTTAAATGATTTATCAGTTTGGTACTAGTTTTTGGTGATATCTTGTATAGCCAAGTGGTTCTCAAAACCAAAATGGTAGAAGTTGTTTAAAGCCCTGAATCCAAAATGCCGCCTTAATTTAAAAAAAAAAAAAACCACAACAAAACAAAAAAACCCAACAAAACAAAACAAAACAAAACAAAAAAAAACAAAGCAAAACAAAACAAAAAAAACCCCACCCAAACAACTTGAAAATAAGTCAATATTTTCAGGTCAAATCCTGTGCCAGGTAGAAATTATTTGAATTTCATGAACTAAGTATCTGGACTATCACTTTTTAGAATGATATCACTTTTAGAATGATAACCAGAAGGAGGATTTTTACTGAAGAACTGCCATGATGTAGATTTCAGCTCCCCAGTGTTGTTTTTCTTTACACCTGCCCTACCTTCTCCATCCATAAAAAAGCTATGATTTAACTTTTTTAGAAAATGACTGGTGTTGTTGTGCCGTGTAAGGTCTTCCCTAAGTAATATAAACCTGCAATAGCATTAACTACACTTTGAAAAAAATGAGACATAAAAGACTACTTCTAGTCCTAGATGTCAATGGGCAACAAGTTTTATCTCCTGCTATGTATGACTACAACTTCATAAATTACATTTCTAAAGATTCCATTATTATTTACTAAATTTTAAAAACAGTCAGAAACTGAGTAGATATGCAACTTCAACAGTTTGCATGGACATGTTTTTCTTTTTTATGAGTGTTTAATGTCAAAGGTGTTCTATGTACTCACTCTTGAAATATAAAAACAATGAAATTAAAAAAAATCCATCACACTGATCTAGTCAAGGATTTCGTAACTTAAGTCATTTTGTCTAAAATATTAATTTATATTATTTTATTTTATGTATTTTATTTGTTGGGAGTTGAGTTTTTTGTTATTTATTTTCTTATCAGGTTGATATTAAGATAATCTGAAGGAAGGAAGTAGTGGAAGACTTTCACCACAACTGTGAAAAATGAGCAGTGTCAACCTGGTAAGTTTATCTTTTTGTTGTTGTTGTATTGGTGATGGTTTTCCCACTGATTTTCTCATTTATGTTTGTAGCAAGATAACAGTTACTGTTGTTTTTATTCCTGGTATAATATTTCTGTGTTAATGTCTTAAACTTTGATTTATCTTTTAAAAAACACAAATGCTCAGTATCTCATTAGCTCTTTGAGAAACAGTTTTGTCATGGGTCCAAGTAGTTTCAGTAGTCAGTGCATAATTTATTTTTTTTTTAATCCATTAAGTGTGTATACAATACTCACATATTTTTCTCACCCTTGTCAGGTCTATATTTTGCAATTTGAGAAAAACTATGAAATGAAGGATCTGTGTGTAAAATCTTATTTTTCTGATTTATTTATTTTATTAATATCATGGTTTAGGACTGGCACTCCAAATCACCGGTCACTCCTCATCCTACAATTCCTATGGGAGACAAAAGGCAAAGATTATGGGTTGAGATAAAACTGATGTACTGGAAACAACAACAAGATAAGAAAAATAGACAGCAATGACAAAAATATCAAAAACCAAAAATATACAAAAGAAGGTGATTTACATGGAAAAATGCTCAAAAGCCTGGGACCATAAGAAACAATTGCAGACAGACTCTCTGTGCTTCCATGTTTTTTCCCTGACCACAAGCCATGTCCACCTTCTTCTCAGAGGCAAGAATCCTTTACTTTTGCCACCAAGCATGACCTTAGGTGGTTTAGAATAACAACCTAGACATACTCACACAGCCTCAGGCTCTTCTCCCTCATGGCTACTGTGAAAAAATTAACTCTGTTTTGGCCAAAAAACAGGACAACTAATTAAAATAAAACAAAAATAAGGCAAAACCCTACAACTTTTCTAGGCTTTCAAATTGTAATTTTAATTCCAGCCTTGATCATACAAATGTTTGCTCCAGTTGAGTTTTCCTTCTATGAAAAATATTTCTGTAGATTTTTTTTTTCTTCTCTAGAAGAAAGTCAGTGCAATTAAAACAGTTCTGTCTCTTTCAGGAGGACAAGTTGTTTTAAGTGTTTAGGGATAATAGTGTCTAACTCCCCAGTGTGACTGGAATAAACTCTTCTATTTTCTTTACACACACACACAGCCTTTGGCTAATGGTGTGCTGTGAAGTGCTAGGAAGTGGAAAGACAGTTTTAGCAATTCAGAAATAATAGCAGTACTTCTTCAAGTTTATAATCTGAAAATACTGAAAAACTGTGGTATCATATATCTGACATAGTATAAATCCAAATTTATAAATGCATTAAATTTATCTGCAAAAAAAAACCTAATAAGGAGTTGCAGGTTTCTGTCAAGACTGGTCTTTTATGATCTCTAATCCTCAGCATCTTGTTCTAAGTAGTCCTGTTTTAAGAAGCGAGTGGGACCGGACTTCCAAAGTGTGCTTCCTTTCAATATCATCCTGTAGAATTATCAATTTCTGATTCTCTGTTAAAGTTATTTCCAATAAGGAGGCGGAAAGTCTTATCAGCATTTTTTCTTAAATTCATTAATCACTTCATGGAATTAATTATGAAATATAAATGAAACTGGCATGAAATGTCAGTATGCTCCATTTAAAGAAATTGTCATGTGACTTAAACTGTAAGAAAAAGTAGCTCAGCTTTGAGAAGATCACATGTTCTTAGGTACAAAGATTTTGCATATCATTGCTTTTAAAATGGGAGCAACTGGTAAACTACTGGAAACAAACAAAATTTTGTAAATAGACATTTGAAAATGTGTTAATGCACCTTCCTTTAGAAAATCTGAAGTTGAGGTAAAAACTCAACTGCAGACTTCTGAGATTCCCCCTTACTTTTGTTTTAGTTTAGTTCTTGCTGTCATCTTTTCCAAAAACAGTTTACAGTAACACACGTGTAACTTTAAAAGTTACCAGTACAGTTATTTTAGTGTACAGATATATGTTGTTTTACCTAAAGAAAACCAAGAAAGGCTTTATGAATGTAATTTCTTCATTTTTTAAGTGGAGAAGAGTAGAGTGCTGTCTTAATGTCATTGGTGCAATGATCCAGGTATGCTTTGCTAGAAATCGAAGGAACTGCATCAGAGATAAATCTGGACAATTACTGTTTAAAGAAAACAGAGAGTAATTTGACTGGAAAAATATCTCACACCCTAAAAGTGATTCATTGCTGAAAAAGTACAAATCTTAAAGGCAGAATTGCCATAAGTCATGCAACAGGTAAAAAGTATTACTGTTGACTATTTAAGCCTTTATTTTTAACTACTTCAAAATGCCGTTGAATTCCAGTCACTCTTCAGTTCCCGCCTGTATTGATAACTGTTAATATTTTCCCTACCTTGATCTTCTTTTGGCATTTCTAAAACAACTTCATTTAATAAGGAATATATTTGCAGCTGTAACAATGATTTATAGTCCTTAAAATTTTTTGCTGTCAATGTGTTTTTAAGCATATAAATTAGAATAAGAAAAGGTGTTTTGGGGAACTGCATCAGTAAACACTACAATTAAGTAGAGCATACTGATTTGGGGGTTTTTTTGTAGTGTTTGTTGTTATTGTTGTTGCTGTTGTTGTGTAAAAATTACTATCAGTTTTGTGAGCAATATTTCAAACATAAAGTAATATTAAACACTATTAAGAGAAATTAGAATATTTCATCTTAATAGAATTGTGGACTTTGGTATATAAAAAAAGTTACATGACATTACTGTAGCAAGCAGTATCATCAAGATGAAATCTTGTCTGTTAATTCCACACTCTTTGTCTATGAAAACAGAAGTAGTGAAGTTAGGTATCTTTCCACAGGTACGGGAACATTTTCATAAATATCTTTTATACAGGCAAGGAAACGAAGTGCTGCACTGAGACAATGTGTTATTTATATCTTGGCTCCCTTGTGTTGTTCTGGCTTGGAAAAAAATTCCATTTGGTGTAGAGAGTTTTCCCAGAACTAAATGTTACTGTGATTTTTTTGAGTAATACCGAATTTTACCCTGCCATCATTGAGACAAAGTATATAGATGCTTGGAGTAAACATTTCAAGAGCTTCCCCAAGCTGAAAGGGCAGGTGAGTCTACTTGACTACGACTGTACTAACTATACAAATATATTTCTTCAAAATCAGTTTCACAGGTTTAGAATTCCACATCTACCTTCATGTTCAAGATCTTATTCTATTCCCATGTTGGTAAACTGAGTAGTGTTTGATCTAACTCTGGAATAAAGGTGCATGCCATGTTCATGTCACTGTGTTATTACAATATAGAAGCTACAAGATGCTTCTGTTAGGTTGCTATGTTTCTTGATATTAACTTGTAGATACTTCTGGGCATGTCCAGTTTCTCAGCTAGTATCAGTTATTAGATTCAATTTGATCAAATAAGCTAAGCCGCTCTGGGTTAGCAATTCCCTGTTCTCATGTTTTAATGAAAATTTCTAGGTCTTGCATTTTCAGATGCATTAAGAATAGAGAAAAGGAATCCCCTAATTTCTCATCTTCTTTATTAATTTGTGGGGTTTTTTGTTCATATTGGCTTTCTCTTCCTGTCTACGAGACATTTGTGAAAGTGTTATAAAATCCATGTGGAAAGGTTGCTCTTTGATCTGCTAATTTAATAGAGTATGAAATTATGGTTTTTAGATGCTTTGCAAACAGGAAGTGTGGATGGGTGGAAGGGTCATAAATGACAGGGAGAGATCAGCTCAGAAAGGAGGACAGGAGTTGTAGCAAGAGGAAGTAAAACAATACAGCTGGAAAGAGAATGAAGGCTAGACTGATAAAATATTACAAAGGTAGTGAGAAAGGGAGAGAGAAAACTCTGAAATTAAACAATGTGTAGTGTATTTTCTGTATGTGGTTATGTCTGCAAGGTCACTGACATTTTTCTGTGCATTATGTCTTATCACAAATATCATGAATTGGAACATTTTAGAAGCAAGCAAATGAAAAATTCTGCTTATTTAACAACATTTTCCATTCCCTTCTCTTTAAAAAAATACACCCAGAACTATGAGCACTCTCCAATTTGTGATGAAGCTGGAAGTTTCCAAAACAAGAATATCATTAGTCCCTTCCCTTATGTCATAAGAAATGTATTAATTTCTTCCCTTCATAATATTTTCTTTAGTTTTGGGATATCATGCAGCTATTATAAATATTACCCAAGTCACTTAACCTCTTTGTTCAGCAGATGCCACTTTTTTGAGTTTGACTTGATGATCCTTCTGGGTCAATATTCTGTAATTTAGAGAATAAACAATCTGGAGGGAGATTTTGTAAACATTTTCATGAGATAAGGAATTAAAACTAGTTCTGCTGTACTGTCATCAGACTGTGGAACAGTGGAGGAGGTAACGACAAGCATTAACAATTCAGAAATATAGATATCATATTTGCTTACTAAACCTCCCGTATCTCAGTTCATGCATTGTTCTTATACAATTTTACCATTCATTTTGGTTCCATCTGTAGACAAAGGAGGTTAGTAAATTCTTTAAACCCTTCTTGTTGAACTCTCTCTCCTAATAACACTAATTAAAACCCAGTGAAAGCAAGTCAGATTTGAGGAAACTATTTTTTTAGTTTTAAGAATTTCTAGGTATTTTGCAGGGTAGGTTTTAAAACTTAGATTATCCATATGTTTCACTGTATTCTTGAGGACATCCAGTCTTCAGCTGATTTGAAGTAGAATTTATAACCCTTTAATTAATTTTGGTGAGCATTCTCCTGTGACAAAAGCAGAGAAAAACGTTCATTAAGGGAACAGAGTATTCCATCTTTAACAATGATCTTTACTTTTTTTAAAAAAGCAGAAAACATTCTATTATGTGAAATTGCAAAATCTTTTTGCTCTTTTCTGATATTTGTGTTAAAAAGTATGCTTTATAATAAGAGTGAAATGGTGTCAGATTCACTTTGAAAGCTAACTTTCCAATGCTGGTAAGAAAGCATGTCCTGACCTATGCAGCAGTGGGTTAGGGTCCACAATCTTATGTTTGGACT